GCCCGCGGCGCCCGCGGCGCCCGCGTTCAGCTGCAGCGACCTGCTCAACTGCGCGCTGAGCCTCAAGGGCGACCTGGCGCGCGACGCGCTGCCGCTGCAGCAATACAAGCTGGTGAGGCCGCGCGTGGTCAACCACTCCTCCTTCCACGCCATGGGAGCCCTGTGCTACCTGAACCGAGGCGACGGCCCGTGCCCCCCGGCGGCGGGCGTTAACATCCACCCGGTGGCCTCCTACTTCCTCAGCTCCCCTTTGCACCCGCAGCCGAAGACGTATTTAGCCGAAAGGAATAAACTGGTGGTCCCGGCGGTGGAGAAGTACCCCTCGGGAGTGGCTTTCAAAGACTTGTCCCAGGCCCAGCTGCAGCATTACATGAAAGAAAGCGCCCAGCTTCTGTCGGAAAAAATCGCGTTCAAAACCTCTGACTTCAGCCGAGGCTCTCCTAATACCAAACCCAAAGTTTTCACTTGCGAAGTGTGTGGAAAGGCAAGTACGACGAAGAAAGGAGGTCTCCTCACCTCCCTTCTCCCTCCCTTCTTTCCTGCCTGCCTTTTTTCCTTCCTTTTAAATTTTATTTTGTAATTATGTGTATACAGTGGTTATAAGGTTATCTCCTCCCTCCGCGCCCCCAGCCCGATTTGACTGCAAAGTGGGTGCTGAACTAACCTGTTCTGCTTGTGTTTAACTTCAGGTCTTTAACGCGCACTATAACTTAACCCGTCACATGCCGGTGCACACGGGAGCCAGACCCTTCGTTTGCAAAGTGTGCGGCAAGGGCTTCCGGCAGGCGAGCACTCTGTGCCGGCACAAGATCATCCACACGCAGGTGCGTTCGCGTCTCATTCCGCCCGGGTCCCTGCGGAACGCTTTGTAGAGAATGGCCGATGAACTCACCCTTTAGCTGGGAAGTTTGTCTAAAATGTGCCGCCTGGACGCGAGGAAATGCTGTGCATGTGCGCAAACGGTTTGCCTTTGTTCTGCTTAAAAGCCGCACGCAGAGGATCCCTGTGTTTTTTGAGTTTACAGGACTCCACTGAATAACAAAACACCTTAACTCCCTTGCTTGTCCTCCCTTCCACTTAGGAAAAACCTCACAAATGTAACCAGTGTGGCAAAGCGTTTAACAGAAGTTCCACTTTAAACACACATACCCGAATACACGCAGGCTACAAACCGTTTATATGTGAATTCTGTGGCAAAGGATTTCATCAAAAAGGTATGAACCAGGGAGACTTTTTCGCGGTAGTGTTACTGAAAACCCTAACTGTCTTGGGATATTTTAGAAAACGATTTTTAAAGTGCAGCTAGTTTCCTGGCTTACGCGTTGCCATCCCAACCTCCCACCTGCAAGTCTGGTTGGTATTAGAGAAAGGCAGGGAGCAGATACGGAGGGGGTGTTTTTCTTAGCCACTTGTTCTCGTTTTAGATAATTGGGTTAATAAACGTATATTAAAATGTGGAGGGAAGGGCCTCACCGTTGAAGTTTATAAATAAACTTGGGGAGAGAGGCGCAGGGTCCGAGCGCAGCCCTGCGCCGGCTGTCCTTCGGCCGGTCCGCGCCCTCCTGTTTCAGCTCTTTTCAAATCCACATGCCTGTCATTTGTCTTTTTCAGGGAATTACAAAAACCACAAGCTGACCCACAGTGGGGAGAAACAGTTCAAGTGCAATATCTGCAACAAGGCTTTCCACCAGGTCTACAACCTCACCTTCCACATGCACACCCACAACGACAAGAAGCCCTTCACCTGCCCCACGTGCGGCAAGGGCTTCTGCAGGAACTTTGACCTCAAGAAGCACGTCCGCAAGCTGCACGACAGCACCCTGGGGCTGGCCCGCGCCGGCGCCTG